GTTTTAGCTGTGTATTCCTGCATGACAAGAGGTTGAACTAGATGGCTCTTGTGGTCTCTTCAAGAGCAATTCCTTTTCACATGCTGCTGTGGTATTACAACTAGACTAGGTCCTTGTCTGCACTAGCCAGGATATTCCAGGGGCAGCCCAAAGTATCCTGGTCCCACAGATGTCCCATTCTGCCTACGACAAAATAAACAGAAAACTGTGTCCCAACAGCAAACCCTTGAATTCACAGACAAATCTGAGATAGAAAATACCATCAGATAATAATAAAGAAATACAAATTTTTAATAATACAAAAATCTATATATTAAAAATATAAATTATATAACACAATTCCACACTAAAAATACAATGTCACAACCATGAACCTTAAAATATTGTAACCCATCCAAATTTATTTCAACTTTTCTTCAGTGGTGCAAAATATAGTTTTCTACAATAATGAAGCAACTGGAAAACTGGAAAACAATCAATACCCATTTGACATATGATAAAAATCAATAAGCAAAACACATATCAACCAATAAGTAAACAATAAAAATGTCCCAGAGCAATGTTCTTTTTCAAGTACAAGTTTCTCGTACAAGGAAGGCAGAATTCGATGTTGGCTTTCAAATGTTCAAGTGTGTCTGTGTGTTGTTTGTATAGGTAAGGAACCAGTGCCCTAAATACAACTTAACACTACCACTGATATTTGTGTGCAAGAGGTTGTGAAACCACTTTGCACAATACAAATTGCTTTTGATATCACAGTTATGCTAACTCTGAAAATATTTAACCACGAATGTTCAGCTACTGCAAGAACATAACTGGATAACAACCTAAATGTTGGCTTTTGTCATCTTTATGGGAAGAAGGAGAGACAGAACGTTGTCAGGTGAGACAGAAAAGAAAGAATGTGATCAGGTTTCACAATCTGACCTAAGTCTCCTTTTTGCTATCTCAGGGGAAAAGATGTTAAATTTCAGGATCCAGATGCAAGGGGTCAACTTAATTTCCACATGGCATGCTTCCAGCTTTCTCACTTTATTCTAAAGTTTGAACCACAACTCATCCTAGCAGGTTCTTCCAATATTGTCATTACCCTCTTTCCGTGAAACTAGCACAGGCACAATACATCTGTTTTTTAAAAAAATACAGGTAAGAAATTTGGTGATTAATTAGTTAGAAGGTGATTCTGGGATTGCTTTTTAAATTACTTAAGTGCCTCTGGTCTCTGCTGCTTGTTTCAATAGGCACACCAGTGATCTCCCTGGCTCTAGCTTCCCTATCATCAAGTGAAACTTTCAGGTGACCTTTCATATCCTGGGACAAAAGATTGTTGGACATGGCTTCTCCAGTGGTTACCACATGCCTATTCTGACAAAGCTTGTAATTTCTGCAGATGCTACCGTCTGGAATTACCATTCCATGACAAGAGTTGGCAGCCCACAAAGAAAGCAAAAAAGCCAGGCCTCCTGACACAGGAAATATAAACTGATTCCTTGAACCTGCTCATTCAAGCTCCCTATTAATCTAGTTGAGATGCCTGTTCAATCTCCCCCCATACTTTGAATGAGATGTGGCTCATTGCCACCCTTTGCAGTAATTTAGAGAAATGGTAAAAGTAATGTATTATTTTATTAAAAACACATTGCAACTTTTGTATTTAAGAGCGTCCAATATCTGCCCAAGTGGGAGATGCAAAAAGAAATATATGCTTTTCATTATAATAGGAAAAAAAATGCTACTTCACTGTAGCTTTGGCTTCAGATTCCCTATAGCATGAGAAGTCTTCCACCCCATCTCTTCATAGAGGGATTGAAGGTTCTTTGCCTATGTTTCTCAATCTGTATCTAGCTGAAGTGCCTGAAAGTTCACCAGTTTGGTCACTGACATTCCTGCAGTTGTAAACAACAATATAGTCTAGTAGGTGGATCAACATCAACATTCCTCCTAAGAATCTCTTGGGCTTTGGAATTTCAGAAGATTTATATGACAAGAGAAAACATGCAGTTTTATTATCTTTTGTACATTTTGTTAAACAATTAGCTTATGCATCCTCCCTTTTGAAGGAGCATCCTATTATTCAGACCAGGGGTTCCCAACCTGTGCTCCTAGGAGCCCTTAGGGATCTACATGTACCTCCCAGGTGCTCTTCAGCCACTCCAGGAAAATTAAAGAAATAAAAAATTGAATGAAATTAAAGAATAATAATATATTCTTATATATACTCCTAAACACCATTAACTTGTAACACATAGGGTATGCCTCTTAGGGATGCCACCATAGAAATAAGAGCTCCAGTAGTCAAAAAGGTTGGGAATCCCTAACATAGGAGATTATCACATATATTTTTCGCCTGAGCTGGGCACAGGCTGGGCATGGGCATAAATGCTTTAAAACTTGATGTTTTTGCACACCTCCATGCTCAGCTCAGAGGCATAACATACCTGATCTGGACTTCGCAAAGAATGGGGCTTCTATCGTTCTTTGCAAAGTCTGGGAGAAGTCCGGATCAGGTACACATTGCCTCCAAACTAGGCATGGAGGCATGTGAAAACACCTGTTTTTAAAGAGTTTATGCCCATGTCCAGCTCGGGAGAAAAAGATGTGCAATAATCTCCATAGACATATCAATCTAGCAACAATAGATTTCAAAGACATTACATAATTAGGCATGTTGCTTTGTAGTGGTAAGGAACATAAACTTACACAATCTTGAGGCATCATAATCCACATCATCTATTGAGGAAACTGGCGTTACACTAATTCACCATAGCTAGTGCTACAGAAAGTATTTGGTAACTCGATCTGTTATACTGGCATTCTAGGGTATGGTAAATATAATATTCTCACGCATCTTGGGAGGCTGTAACCAGTCAGCAACATTTGTGTCTTCCACAAAGATTGCCCCCCTTCCTGCTGCATTTTTGCTGCTTTTATAGAGATTTTATAGAGAGACACAGTTCTCTCATCCACTCACAAACAAGTTTCACTGCTTCTCATTTCACCTTGTTCCAGAGGTCAAACACTCTTGATTTGGCTTTTTGCCTGGGATTTCCTGCTCTTTATGTGGTAGCTATTACAGAAAAGCTAAGTCTGAGAATCCTACGGTGCTTTGTTTTTCAGCTGTATGTAGACTTTTGCCTGTTATCCTTTTGTTTATTTCTAGCCAGATAGCAGGGCCTCAGCTTGTTCTGCTAGCGTTTCTCTCTCTTACACAGACTACCTTTTAAAGTTTTGATTTTTAACACACTTTGGCTTGAATTCTGTTGCTAGTTCCAAACAGAGTTTGTTGTTGTGTGCCTTCCAGTCATTTCTGACTTATGATGATCCTAAGGCAAATCTATTATGTTTTTTCTCCTTGGCCCAATTTGTTCAGAGAGGGTTTGCCATTGCCTTATTCTGACGCTGTGAGAGTGTGACTAGTCCAAGAACACCCAATGAGTTTCTATAGCCAAGTAGGGATTCAAACCCAGGTCTCCTAGAGCCCTAGCCCAGTACTCTAATCACTAAATCATACTGTTTCTCTTGAACAGAGTAGACTCCAAGTAAAGTAGACCCAGTGAAGCAATGGGACTTACCAATGTGTCTGCTTGATTTTGGATTCAACACAAGTTCAGGATGAGACCATGAGATGCCAGAATCATCATTATTATTTATAGATTTCCTATTACATTGCTCTAGTAAGTAGTAATCTCTGTTTCTTTGCAAATGTGTTTAGGAAGACATAGCATAAGAAGCATCCTACAAGGAAAGAGGAGCCCTAGGTACAGCTACACTGTAGAAATCATGGAGTTTGACAGCACCTCAACTGCCACAGCTCCATCCTACAAAATCTTGGGAGTTTTGTGTGGCACCAGCATTCTTTGGAGAAAGCTAAAGGTCTTGTAAAACTACAAATCCCAGGATGGAGCCATAATGGTGTCAAACTGCATACAGCCTAGTCAGGCCTTATCTTTTAGGGCTATTTGAATATACAAAGAGGGAAGCATGATATCCCTCCTCTATAGAGGAATCTGGAGATCTCTAGACATAGATTGGGAATCCTGACATATGAAAAATGTCAGCAGAGGGGTAAAATGTGCACACTGCTCTCTGAAACCTAAAAGAAAAGCCCAGATTGGAACTAGGGAGTATCTACAGGTGTAGTATCCAAGCAATTTAAGCAAAAATAAAAATAAAAAATGAAGCTGCTGAAAAACAGAACCAAGACCCTAGTGCACCTTGTGACGTGATCTGTAGTTCAATGGCAAGAAGGCACATGACTTGTGTGCAGAACACACTAGGCACAACCTTACAGAAGGCCACACATCTCTCAATTTTGTGCCCCAGTTTTTTAAAAAAGTACAGACCAGGACTGCCTTATAAATAAAGTTGGAAATGGTTCAGTATTTACAAGCTTTCTCAGCAAACTTATAGGGAGTAAAAAAAACCTTTCTATATCCTTGCTTGCAGCATTTATGTGTATTTCTGATAGTGCTCTGCACATGGATCTCCTTGTGTACCACTCAGAGAATAATAGTTTCCAGCCACTAGCCATAGATGAAAATCTTCTTGGAAATTCAGTTCCTCTGCTAACACAAAAAGCACACAGAGCTTAAGAGAAGAGTTGGGCTCTGAACAGGGGACAACAAGAGTGTAGTTGTTTACCAAAGATCTTCCTGGTTGGATATTCTGGTTACATTGTTCAAAAAGATGGATGAGGGATCTAAAGTCCTTAGAGAACATTTTGTATGTGCAGCTGCAAACAGCTGGCTTTGTGGTCCACATAATTCAGCAAACATTTTGACAAGCTTTTTACGGTGAAATAATATTCAATGACTTTTACTCAGGCACCTAGTGTTCAAAACAGCTGACCAGCCTGAACAATGACTGCACAATAAGCAGAATTTCATTTTACCTTCAGAGCTAAAATGAACTTCTGAGGCAAATAACATTTATTTTGTAAGATAGCCAGACATTACAAACTAGACCCATTTGTATTTACCGTGAAGTAACTACAAACTTGAGCCAGTGTGGCGTAGTGGTTTGAGCATTGGACTATGACTCTGGAGACCAGGGTTCAAATCTCTCCATGTATACCCACTGAGTGACCTTGGCCAAATCACAATCTCTCAGCTTTAGAAGATAGTAATGACAAATCCCCTGTGAAGAAATTTGCCAAGAAAAACCCATGATAGGTTCATCTTAGGGTCACCATAAGTCGGAAACAACCTAAAGGCAAAACAACAACAATTTCAAACTTAAGCAGCATCTCTATTTATTGCTTTAATTTTTAAGTAAGTTTTTTTTAAATCTCCATAAATGAAGTACCTCTGCTTGGTCTCTTCCACTCCCATGCTGGAATTGCTTTTCTTTCCTTTGGAGGAAGAAAAGCAAGGAACGAAATGAAAATTGGCTCCCATTATTTTGTTGTATGAGCTATTAAAGGGAGGTGTGTGTGTGTGTGTGAATTTTGCTTGCTTACACTGAAAGGACAAGCAAGTTGTTATTAAGCTAATCAGCCTTATGCTCAGCTATATCAACTTGATGAGTACTGTACATTTGGCATCTATTGGTGCCTTCATCTTTCCTGTATTCATGGTATGAATCATTTTTGGAGATTTGGAGTACCAGCGGAGAGAGAGCACAGAAAGTAAAGCATTTGAGGCAGTAGACCACTAGGCTGATCACTGTGGCAACATCCATGATGGTGAGAGGCTTTTATAGCTAACCAGGTGGTCAGAGTATTTCAGGAATCACAATGTATCAGTTTTTCTTCTAAAATGCATCCCTGATGAGTATCTGAAAAGATTACATGCAGCAAATTGGAAACATAATCAACTGTCTCGTATTTGCTAATGATTACTTTAAAATAATTTCATATTGCCTAATTATGTTTATTCCATCCAGTTGCTGCTGCTGTTATTTTTAAATGGCATTAGTTAATATTTAGGGAATGTTCAGTCAACACACTCAGCTTGTTTATGAATGATCTACATACATATCAAGAAACCTGTGTAAAATCAAGTCAAATCTAAAACAAACAACATATCCAAGTGTAAACATATTGGCCATAAAACAATGTACAATATAATCCAAACCCGACAAAACAGTGATACCATTATTGGGCAAACCAAAATGAATAAATTACAGTCATCTCTCCTAGTTTGTGGACTTCCCATTTGCAGTCTTGAATTTCTGTGGACAGGAAGCAGGAGGGACAAAATGGCACATGGGGCTACACGCAGGAGCACACAGCCATTATATCCAATGAAACTTGGACATTTGTGTTTTTTCTGATTTGCAGGAGGGTCCAGAATGGATCCCCCATGAATGAGGAGGGACAACTGTATTGTAGTATTTTTATGGTTATGTTCACAGTCTTGAATGATCCTCTAGCCATAGTCTTGAATGATCCTCTAGGATCTATCATAGAAGTGATGGAGACAGGAACCGGGTTTTTCTCTTTCTTCCACATTAAAAATAAATAAATCTCAAATTCTTTTCATCAGATTTATGGAGATTCGTTAATTTTGGCAAGTTCTAATAAAAAGGATCCAAATAACATTCTCACACAACTCTATCTAGAGTGACTGCAAGCTGTGGTACTCTCTTCTTCCACATTCTTGAAGAAATCTGGAAGTCAAAACTTCTATATGCCCAATTCACCCTGATAAAAAAGGGTTGGGATGTGGTGGGGAGGACATTTATAAAGCTGAATTTTCACATTCTTCCTCCTTAATCAGTTTGAAGCTAATTAGCAGCATCCATACAATAAAGCCCAAAGCCATTAATCATTAAGGATGGAAACTCTCACTCAGCTCAGCCCGTTCACCCATCCACCTCCACATTAAGAAAACCTTCCCTTTTTCTGTTTTCATCACCTTTTTTGAGAAATAGCCTTCAAATATCATGAAGACCCCCTTTTCATAGTGAACAGTGTGTAAAGCATAAGCCATCATTTGAAATGATAGTTAATGCTCCCTCCTTCATTTAAAACACTTCTCTTTTTGTAGTGGTCCCCAATAGAACCAGATCAACTGATGGCTTTATCCTTTTCTCTCAAGTTGAAACAAAATTGACTTAAGCCCAATATACTTTTCTTTTCTTTTCTTTTCTCTTCTTTTCTTTGCAAAAATTCTGTTAAATGAAATACCTTTCTACAGTTTTTCTTCAGTCCTTTCAAAAGATTTACAGTCTATTCCTGGGGCACAGCTAATTAGGACTAAAAGTCCTTTCACATTGTATAGCATGTCTTTCAGTCCAGTTCTAGCCATGTTAGCCATTAGGCCATGGAAGTGAAATGAGACATTATTTCTAAAACCATGCTGGCATGCCTTAAGAAAATGCATGTGGTCATACTTCCACATGGAAAGGTTTACTCCCACATGATTGCTAGCTTCACTACAGTCATGTGTATGTTTCTCTCTACCAGATATTCTCATGGGCAGTGATATCTGTAGTCTTTACTAGGAGTTAAGGCCACCTTACATTTTCTATATGGTTGGGTAATCATATGTCTTTGTAATCCATGGCTGGGAGCATTTCAGTGCCTGCCATTACAACTGTGGGGCTCCCAGAATATCATTTGTTCTAGACTTATTGCAACCCACATGCTTGATTTAATGTTCTCTATGGATTTGTCCATAAGTGTCTGAAGCTGGAGGATAGTATCAATAATTCCTGATCACTAGATCAGTGTCTGGTAGTTTCACAGGAGTTCCTACCAGCTGCTGGGATGGAGAAACATTATGATTGTTCTGTCCCTGGAAATGTATGTTTCTGGATGAACATGACTAGGATTCATGTTAGAAACCTGGCTGATATCTAGAATTTGGAATGACCTGAACAGTTGACATAATGGTCTCTTACACACTTCAAACCTATACATATCAAAACAATGTTAAATGGCATGGCTTTATCCTGGGAGCTGTAGTTTTATGAGGTATTTAGAACTCTCTACCAGAGAGCTCCATGCCTCATGAAACTACTTATCCCAGGATTCCATGGGATGGAGTCATGATATGAAAATGCTGTAATTGTGTGGTGTGAAAGTGACTGTCACCTTCTGAACAAAATTTGCTATTAGTTGGCTATCATTCAGCTGCTTGTTTGATTGAGGAAGAGGGAACATTGAAATGGCAGGCATGATGGCTGCAATAGAGATTAATCACAACTCAGAGATGAATAATAACCCACTAAAAGCTGATTCCAGAACCTATTCTGTAATGATGGACACCCACAAAGCTTCATCTTGTTCCTGATGTCATTCATATGCATAGAGTTGCTTAATGAAACCATCTGGGAATTCCAAATGGAATGTCATAGGTACTGATAATAGCCAGCTTTTCTCTTTTTCATCTAATCCAGGTGAGGTACTAGATGTTTTAAAAAGCATCTGCACTTGCAAAAGAACTGTATCTGTAAAACATCTTCAGATAACCCTGCTGGAGAACAGAGATGGATGGGCTACTTCTACCATGGTACCTAGACTTTGACATTTCCTTTCTAGCTACAGTTGCCAGGTGCTTGTGTTGTATCATCCTGACCATAAGTGTTTTGTATTAACAATAACTACTCAGTTACAATTTTGACACTATTGCCACAATCGTAACTTGCCCTCCCCCCAACCTGTTTACCTGGGTACCAGCTGCATGGGAAGTAGAACGTCCATTCTGCGAACAATCAGAGCATGGTTAAATGATGGTTTGTTTCATCAGATAAGATATAGTCAGGCAAGGAGAATTTATCTAATTAAGTATTTACTATTTAGTTAAGTATAAGCTGTAGCTGATACAGGCAGACTACATTCCTGCCAAGTTTTTGATGCTCAGGATCAGAAATATATCACCTTTCTGTATCAGTTATATTTGACAGCTTTTACTTGTTTTGTGCAAATCAGATTTGCTCCACTATTGATTGATTTTAAGCTGCCTTGGAGACTCTGACAGGGTCAAAGTACAGGACATAAAACATTATCCTGACAAGTCCAACTGAAGTCCATCAATATCTTTTGATGCTATAGACTACAATACCTTTCTTGGCCAGCTCTTCAATTTGAGTGAGTGGTGATGTGATGGTTTTACTCCTACCCATACAATTAGTTTCATAAAGTAGAATGAGGAGGATTTCTTTATTCAAAGACACTTGTACTGTGGTGTCCTGCAAGGGTTCACCATACTTTTTACCATTTATATAAAACCACTGTGAGAGGTAATCAGGGGATTTGGAATGAGGTGTCAGAAATATAGGGATGATTACAGAAATATCTGTAATCTGAATCAGGTGAAGATGTACAGAAATGAAGGGCTTGTCTGCACATACGATAAAATCCAGGGTGCCCAGATTCGCAATGACCCTGTGGCTTGTCTACTGTTAAAAATGACAGGGAGGCTATTTGCTGCAAATTCAAATTATGCAGCCATACATTCACACACACACACACACACACACATGGAGAGGTTTTTTAGGTGTAAAATGACAGCCTTCTACAAATTATTTCAAGCCACATGACACCCAAATATTTTTTTTTACCTGTCCATCAAGGATGCACACATGTAGAGGAACACAGTTAAAGATCAACATATATGCGTTTATGTGCATATGTGCATAAATACAGCAGTTTTTTGCCTTTTTTTTTTTAAAAAAAAATACAGTCTTGCTGTTCAAATCTCCTGCTCTTCGGGACTCATCACTTCCTATTCGTTCTGTGCCATCAGTGTGAATATGCTGGCCACACTTATCACACATTTGGATTTTCCCTGGAGAAAAACAGTTCTTTTTCTTCAGATGATTCATGAAGCAACCCCTCAGACATCAAATAACCCTCACTAATTCCCTGAATTGACATAAACACAGTATGTCCAGATCATTGCCAATTCAAAGTGAATTAGGATTTTTTTTCAAAATAGTGTAGACAAGCCACCTCCACCCCAGCATTTTGTGTTTGAGTCAATTTCTCTATTTTCTTGCATTTGATATTGGTGCCTGATTGTTTTAAAAGATATATTGTATAATGATTTTGATCAAATATTTGTAACACTGCCCTAGTATCCATAAAAATGAATGGCAGTTTAAACATATTTTTAAAAATAAAC